ATTTCAGGTCTGAGCATCCTGGAAGGAACGAACAGCCTCCAACAATACAGGCTGATCTCAATCTCACAGCGATCCACCTGCCTCTGCCTCTGGGATTTAAAGGCATGCACCACTATATCCGGCACCAGTCAGTTATTGCCTGACTATTTTCATTTTTGCAGTGTTTCAGGCCTTGCAACTTCAACACAATCTTCCTTTTAACCTCAGTGCTCATTCTCACTGCAACTTGTGAGTGTCTTGCAGTTTTCACCATGTGCCCCTTTCTGCCTACAGAAAGCTACCTCCTGCATCATTGGTTTGGACTTCTGTTTGTGAAAGAGTATCACTGTATAATTTGGGTCGGTATCAAACTTGCTACCCTTCCATCTCACCTCAGTTTTCCAGATGCTGGGATTATTGACACATGCCACCACATCTCTTTTCCATTTCAAAAGTAAAACATGGGTCTGGAGAGAAGGCTCAGGGATTAAGAGCATTGGCTGCTCTTCTAGAGAACCTGGGTTTGGTTCCCAGCACACACATGGCAGCTTATAACCATCTGTCACTCCAGTTTGGGATCTGATGCCCATTTCTGGCTTCCACAGGTACTAGACACACTCATAGTGTACATACATGCAAGCAAAATACTCACACACATAAATGTTTTAAAAATTCAAAAGCAAGAAAGCAGACTAGGGGTGACACATACCCAGTGTTAATCAAACCATGTACCCAAGACCTCCCGCACTCTATGCACCTTAACCTCTGTTCTGCAGAGGTTCCGTTTCCATCTGGTCACCTTGTCATCCAGGGGGAGGCAGATGGCAGTATGCAGTGCCCTCTCCACTTGCGCTGCCATGGGAACAGGGCTCTAAATCAGCCCTTTGTCTTTGACCGGCTCCCATGTAGCCCAGGCTGGGCTTGAATTCACTGTGTAGCGAGGATGATCCTGGACTCCTGGCCCTCCTTCCTCTATCTCTGGTGCTGGAATCACAGGTGTTTCCCAGAAGCAAGCCATGCACGCTAGGCAAGCACTTCACCAACTGAGCCACATCCCAACCCCCTGCATGAGCCTCCTTACAGCATCTTTCCAACCTCTTGGTGCACCCAGGGCTCTAGGTCTCCAGCTAAAATCAGCGTCCTGGGCCGCCTGTTCCTGAGTCAGAGCCAGGCTGGATTGTAGAACTGGAAACTCCCATGGACACCTCATGTGTGATCTTGAATCACCCACTGCCTTCTGTTTCCCCAAGGACCCAAGCTTCTGGTCTCAAGCACATCCAGTTGAGAGCCCCTCTTCCTCAAACATCCTTTCTTTGCCTCTCTTGAAACATTCTGGAACCATTTTTTTTTTTTGCTCATTTCATTCTGGCTTTGAGGAGAGTGGGGAGCAGCAGCTTCCTTCCGGAAAGAGCCACGATCTAGTGATAGCTGGAGGGACAACATGGTGCCTTGTATTGCTGTTCTGTTCAAGACCCCTAGCAGCAAGTAGGAGTTGAACCTCCAATGGTTTCATTACAAAATTCTTGCCCTCAATCTCATATCTCAGACTAGAATAACTGGAGGTAACCAGACACACAGAGGCTCAGAGCAGAGCGGAGCGGAACACTGAAGAGCATCATTTCTACAACTCTTCCCAGCTTGCAGGTGCTTGAAATGGCTTAGGGGAACTGAGATAGCACGCTGCAGACCTCAGGACTTACATCAGCGGACTGCACAGTGGGCTGCTGCATCCAGGAGACGCTGTGGGCAGAACACTTTAGATGGGGTCAGTTAGCAGTGCTGGAGGCAGTACGGCAGGACCCCAAGGACAGATAGGGATCTGGAACAGGCCATCATGGAAGTCTGCTAGATTTGGAAACTTGACAGTCTGAGCATATCGGTGACTCCGCCTCCCAGTAAGGTCAGCAAAAGTCACCTGTACCTTTGAACCATGAGACCCACTCTTTCTAATGCCATTAGAATCTTACTTTATCTGTATCCATTACATTGTTACAACCCTGGTCCTAGAAGGAGTCAGTCCCAACAAGAAGCCTTTGGTTCTCCCACACTCCACTTGTCCACCCCTGTCCATTTCTCCTCTTACAAGGACTAGGGTGGGTTCAACGATGGAGCACTTGTCTGACGTGAGTAAGGTCTTGAGTTTAATCTTAGTATACAAAATGTTAGTAAAAATAGAATAAGTTGAAGGCCCTGGTCTGTCTGGAGCTGTGAGGATTGTACCACCTTGGCAGCAAGGGTTATGGAGATCATCTACCCTCCCAGGTGTGACCCAGGACTTTTCGTGTCCCCTCCTACATTCTCACTGTGCCCGACATCTCTACTCTGCTTGGTCCTCTGCCTGTCCTTTCCTTCCCCATACCCTGTCATCCAGCAAGGCCCAAGCCTGTGCATTCAGTCCAGCTGACAGCTTGCTGAACTGTTACTATGTGTCAAGAACAAGGAAACCAGGCAGTGGTGGAAGACAGGCTCACGCCTTCAGTACCAGCACTCGGGAGGCAGGGCAGGTGTGTCTCTGTGCGCTAGTTCCAGGACAGCCAAGGCTACACAGAGAAACCCTGTCTTTAAAGAAGGAAGGAAGGAAAGAAGGAAGGAAGGAAGGAAGGAAGGAAGGAAGGAAGGAAGGAAGGAAGGAAGGAAGGAAGGAAGGGTGGTCCCTGACCCTGAAGAGCCAGAGAAGAGGGGATTTCTTGCCTTTGAACCTCTAAGCAGATAGCTGTCTGTCTAGATGCAAAGAAATTGTAATCAAAGTTGGGTTGGTTTTTGTTTGTTTGTTTTTGATTTTTCAAGACAGGTTTCTCTGTGTAGCCCTGGCTGTCCTGGAACTCACTCTGTAGTCCATGCTGTCCTCAAACTCAGCAATCTGCCTGCTTCTGTCTCCCAAGTGCTGGGATTAAAGGAGTGCACCACCATTGCCTGGTTTCTGAACAAAGTTTTGAAGATAAGCAGATTTAAGTTCAAGATTGAACACCAATGACCTTAGTAGTTAGACAAGCCATCTTCATTTTCCAACCTCTGTGCCCAGCAGCACAAAAGAGGGTCATAATATCCTTGTCACCATCCTGCAAAGTGACAAAGTCTAGGTCCACCAATGATAAAAATACACCTTGTTGGATGGAAGGAGTCTTGTTTTTGGTATTACACACACACACATGCATGCACGCACACACACACATACTCACACACACATGCACACACACTCACTTACTTGCAGAGTAATTGTGGGGAAAATCAGAACCCCATTTGACTTCCTTCCTCTTATTCTGTGTTTAGTTTTGGTTTTACTTCAAATTATGTGAAGAGAAGGAGGTTTCCTGTAATCCTCCCACCCTCAGAAGTTAAGGAAAAATTTAAACTTTCTTGATTTGGAAATTTTCAAGCCCCCAGAAAGTTGCAAGGTAATATATTTTATCTGTATATATACATATATATCCTAGACTCTTTGTTAACTTTCTTAGTACATGATTTTTATTGTCACTTGAAAGTCTGATCAGGGCTGGAGAGATGGCTCAGGGGTTAAGAGCACTGGCTGCTCTTTCAGAGGACCCGGGTTCAATTTCTAGAACCCACATGGCAGCTCAGAACTGTATGACTCCAGTTCCAAGGGATGTGACACTCTCACACAGACATACATGGTAAAACACCAATGCACATAAAGTACAAATAAAATAAATTATAAAAAAGGAAATGCCATCTACATAAAATGCTAGTGTTACATGGAGGAAGGATAGTGTCGCTTGGAGGATGAAGATGAAGAACCTCTGAAAATTCATGCAGATGTCAAAGAAATCACTAGACTATTTTAAGGACTAAAATAAAAATAACACACACACACACAAAGAAAAGAAAATCTGAATCGGCTGGGCAGTTGTGTTGTCTGCCTTTAATCCAGAACTTGGGAGGCAGAGACAGAGAAAGTTCCAGGACAGCCAGGACAGCCAGACAGCCAGGGATACACAGAGAAACCAGGGAGAGAGAGAGAGAGAGAGAGAGAGAGAGAGAGAGAGAGAGAGAGAGAGAGAGAAAGTATGAATTGTATTTTAGTTACTTTTTATAGAGCTCTTCCACTGTTGCCCATGCTAACTCCAGTCTTTCCAATATTTTAAAAAATAATTATTTTTATTTTGTATACGTTGGTGTCTTGCCTGTATGTATGTCTGTGTGAGGATGTTGGAGCCTAGAGTTTCATTACAGACAGGTGTGACCTGCCATGTGGGTGCCGGCGGGAATTGAACCTGGGTACTCTGGAAGAGCAGTCAACACTCTTAACCGCTGAACCATTACCACAGCCCTCTCCAATATTTCTCTGTTAAATGTAGCTTTCACATTGCACCTATTTGCTTCATTAAGTGGACACTTTCTTCTTTGCCCCCTTCTACCATTCTTTGTAAAGCAACTTCCGGGACACTGCTGAGAAATTAACATTGCACCGTCTTCCTTCCTTCTCTGTTGAGTGCCACCCATGATGATTACTGTTAGTTCCGAGTTCCTGAAGTTGCAGCATCAAATCCCAGTTCTCGTCCCTACATATTCAGGCTAAATCTCCTAAGAACAACTTTACTGATAGAACACCGATACCAAGAGTACACTTGGTAAACTCAACCATGCCTTGACAAGGCAACGCCACACGCACGCGCTGTCTTAGTCTCTTCGGAGGACAGAATTTTCCGTGTCTGGAATGTCGGATCTCAAAGCCTTTCCCCGGAATTACAGCAATGATGCTGCTCTTCCAGGCTGGTAGCACAGAAGACACGTGAAGCTAACTTGGTTAAGAGGGTCGATACCAGAACCCTTACAGTTAGTTTCTTTTTTTCCACATCATCTTTCTTCAGGGACTGGGCGTGCATCTCAGGATAGTCTCAGGCTAGTTCTTCTCTGGAATCTGGGTCACAGACCACTGAAAACACAGATACTGCTCTTGAGGGGTCCAGCCTGGGTTGCAAGGACCAGCGAACCACAACTCCCAGGAGACACTGCGCTCGCCAACCTCTCGGGCCACCATCGTCGGTCACGTGGGCACCAATGGCGGATCACGTGAGTCCCAAGTGCGAGTCACGGGAACGCTGCCGGGCGGCCGGCTGTTCTAGTTGAGTTTGGTCCTCAGTGGGCCATGGCCAACGTCTCTAAGAAGGTATCTTGGTCCGGCCGAGACCGCGATGATGAGGAGACAGCGCCGCTGCTTCGAAGGACGGGGCAGCCTGACGAGGAGACGCCGCTGCTGAACGGGGCCGGGCCGGCCGCGCGCCAGGTGAGGCCCGCGGGCCGGAGATGTGGCCTCTGGGTTCGCTGCGCGGTCCTCAGTGCACTGGACGGGCCCGGGGGAAGGCCACAGCTTTCTCCTCTGTTATTACTTTGAATCCCCGAAGACCTTGATTTTTGACAGTTTTGCACCCATTGCACTCATTACCCTCCTTTCTTTCCCTGGGAACCCCTTCTTCCAGTCTAGTCCCAGAGAAATGATTGCCCTCTCCTCCAACAATCAGTCATCGTCATTAGCTTTTCAGCCAGAGCGCCTCGGACTTCTTAAATTGTTTTGGTTTTTTAAATTTTACTCTCCGTGGTGAGGGTCGAGGCCAGGCTTTACACATACTAAGCAAACAAACGACCTCTGATCTGCTCCCCAGCCCTTGGCTTTTCAGGACAGGGTCTCAATGGTGTAGCCCAGGCTGGCTATGAATTCATGATCCTGCCCCATTTTCGCAGGCACTTGGAAGACCTGCACTGCACGGCTGGCAGCTTTCACAGTTGAAATGGCAAAATTACGCGTTCAGTGAAAGTGTCAGTCTCCTTTTTCACGGGAGTAATTCCAGACGTTTGGGATAGAAATGCAATGACGAGGATTTCCACACATTTTCTCTCACTACCTGATTGATTTTGAATTTGGAGTGTGCAGCCAGGCGTGATAAGTAACAAGTCAGAGGCCAGAGTGTGCTCATGCCTCAGAGAACCCAAAACACAGTTCGTGCCTTTAAATGCTTCATGTTTGAAAGGGTTACTAGTTTGCTTATTTGCATGCCTTTGGCTCTCCGCCTGTGTGCATTGTATTAATTTTGAGTCCGGAATTTATGTGAATCTCTTGATGTTAGTCTGTTTTATTACCGTCCATGACCATTTCTCCTGATTTTAGAGCTGTCGGACAAACACTCCTACCATTTTCAAGGCTAGGAAGAACACAAGATCAGAATTTACATTTTTTTTTTTTTGAGAGTGGCTTTGGGACAGGAAAACCCCACCTCTGCTGAGGTTTTTCTAGGCCCTTGAAAGTACATCAGACAATGAAAGTCAGTTCCTTGTTGCTAGGAAGAAACTCTGTTGCCTTTGAAGTGACATCTGCTTGCAAATCTGGTCTGCCGCCCCGCAGCAATCAAAGCAGCTCCAGTAAAACTGTAGGGCTGGGGCAGAGCGACTTTAGGTGTTTCTGGGAGGTGTGGTTTGTTATCCCTGTTGTAAAGAAAGTAACACTGGGGGCCTAAGAGTGTTTGCTGCTCTTGTGGAAGACCTAAGTTCAGGTTCCAGCACCCAGGTCCAGTGGCTCTACTATCTGTAACTCTCTCTCCAGGGATCTGACCACCCTCTTCTCTCCAGGCCTCCACCTGTATAACATTCTCATTCATATTCTCTCTCTCTCTCTCTCTTTCTCTCTCTCTCTCTCTCTCTCTCTCTCTCTCTCTCTCTCTCTCTCTCTCTCTCTCTCTCTCTCTCTCTCTCTCTCTCCAAACAGAAAGAAACCTTAAACTGGTTTTAGGAAAGGAAAAGAGATTGGAAACTGATACAAGTTGAGTTTAGATTTCGCAGGATGGGATGGTTGTAGGTTTTGACCAAAGAGTTGGTTTCTTTTGAAAGAATGAGTTGATCTTTTTCCCTAAATACCATTATAGCTTTTAAATCTGCAGTTAATACAATTTATTGGAGCCGAGTGGTGGTGGCACACATCTTTAATTCCAGCACTTTGATAGGCAGAAGCAGGTAGATCTCAGTGGGGTTCAAGGCCAGCCTGGTCTACAAAGTGAGCTCCAGGACAGCTAGGACTATTACACAGAGAAACCCTGTCTCAAAAAAAAAAAAAGCCAACGATTGATTGGTGGCACCCAACTTTTAAAAAGTAATTATGGGTTGTGAGGTCTGAGGTGCACTAAGACAGCTTCTTTCCCTCTGGAAACAGGCCCAGCTCCGTGCTGATTCTGTGTGGGGGCCCTATAGTATAGGTGCAAAGAGCACTTTTGTGTTTTGTGCCCTATATGAATAGTGCAAGGTCCCCAGACAAGCTCAGGACCAAGAGAGTATATGATCACAATGCTACAATAGTTCGGAGTATGGCGCGGGGTGTGGAAGTCCTGTTCAGCCATATGAGTTGATTTCGAGTTTGGCTTAGGTCTAAAGGGTTCCAGTGCCCTGCTTAGGCGGGTTGAATAGTCACTGGCTACAGGTTGGGAACCCTCTGCAGTGGGCACTAGAGCAGCCAGAATTTCAGAAGGATCTGAGGCCTGCTTCTGCCAGTTTTCTCATCTGTAAAAGTTAATGAATGTATAACATTGAGCAAGCCTGTTAGAAAACTGGCTCTCTCCAGGCGGTGGTGACACACGCCTTTAATCTCTGTGAGTTCGAGGCCAGCCTGGTCTACAAGAGTTAGTTCCAGGACAGGCTTCAAACTTCAAAGCCACAGAGAAACCTTGTCTCAAAAAACAAAACAAAACCAAACCAAACAAAATAGAAAACAGGCTCTCGATAGATACTAATCATTACCAGCAAGGGTCTGGAGACATAGAATGCTTGCCTAGCATCAGTGCAGCCCTGGGTTCAGTCTCCCGGCACCACATAAAACTGGGTGTGGTAACAAATAGCTATAATCCCAGTGTGCAAGTGGTGAAGGCAGGAGGATCAAAAGTTGAAAGATCCGTGATTGATTGATTGATTGATTGAATGGTTTTTCGAGACAGGGTTTCTCTGTGTAGCTTTGATGCCTGTCCTAGTACTCACTCTGTAGACAAGGCTGGCCTTGAACTCACAACCTCCTAAGTGCTGGGATAAAAGGCTTACACTGCCACCACCTGAAAAGTTAGTGATTTTGAAGCTGTCCTGAACTAGATGAGACCCTGTCTCAAAACAAAACAAACAAGCTTCCCCCATACACAAAAAACCTATCAAACTAAAGGAAACCCACCTTTGCACCTGACGCTTGTCTGTGCCCCTCTTCAGCTGAATGACGTTTTGGTGCTGCTGTGCTTAGGGAAAGTCTGTTCTGGATAATAGGCAGACTCATAGTTAGAATGGAGTGTCCCGATACTGTACCCGGAGTCTTTGTGAGGTAGTCTGGAGTCAGGACCATTTTAAAATAAGGGGGACAGTGGGGTGAGTCTGAGCACTGAACTTGATCTACCTCCTGGCTCTCTGGGGTTTGTTACAGCATCTCCAGGGTTCAGTGATGGCATTGTTGCCACCTCAGCTAGTCAGAAGCAGGCCAAGCAATAAGGTAGTTGCTATAGGTAGGACAGGGTGGGGCCCTGTTTAAAGCCCAAGCCCTGCAGGACTACCTGGAGGCCAAAGCATTGGTCTTTTTCTTAGGTGTGGGGTGATAGTGGACTAGGGAGAGGGTGAGGTCAGCCTGAGAGTCACGGTCATGTGTGTGAGCAATGGGAAGTAGAGTATTCTGTGAGGATGATCCTAGAGCAAGTGGTGGTGAGGAGGCAGTCTATGTTTGCAGTCTCTTTAAATGCAGGGCATTTTTACAGGCTCTTTCTGGAAATTGCCACCAGAGACACCCCCTCTCTCAGCAGAGGAGGGACCTCAGGTGAGTGTGGGTCTGTGTTCTGCCCTGACAACTTGGCACCACAGACGATAGTCTAAGGGTGCTTTGGGAGAAGACAGGAGACCTGGAGCTATTGGAGAGCTTCGGGGGAGGGTCCTATGATTGTCCCTAGTGGCCCTTGGGTCTTGCTATCTTCTGGGGAAAGCTGTTGGTTCTTAGTCTTAGGAATTTCACTTCCTCACTCAGCTTATAAGCAAGCCTCAGCCCAGCAGGGTGTAGAGAGCTGAAGGACAGGGTCCTGCCGGCCTGCAGGCAGCCATATAGCACCATATCCACTGCAAGCCTGTCCTATGACCCACTCCTCCCTGCTTTGGGCTGATCTGTTTGCTGTAGACTGCTTTGGGCTGATCTGTTTGCTGTGTATAGCCTTTTTTTTTTTTTTTTTTTTAATGTTCCCCCACTGCAGCAGTTGGACTTTCTTTGCATTAGAGCCTGGCATCTGGCAGCTGCTTATGGAGGTGGGAATGTGGGCAGTGTGTTCCAGTGAACAGTTTTTTAAAAAAATGAAGTTTTAGATGCTGGCACACACCTTTAATCCCAGCACCCAGGAGACAGAGGCAGATGGATCTCTGAGTTTAAGGCCAGCCTGGTCTACATAATGAGTTCCAGGTCAGCCAGGGCTATGTAGAGATCCTGTCTCAAGAAAGTGTTAAAAACATAAAAATAGAGCCAGGGCCGGGTGGTGGTGGCACACATCTTTAATCCCTGCGCTTGGGAAACGTGCAGGTGGATCTCTGTGAGTTTGGTCCGCCTTCCTCTGTCTCCCAAGTGCTAGGATTAAAGATGTGTGCCACTACCACCCAGCAATTTTTTTATATGTGGGGTCAGAGTATCAATATAATGTATAAGTCAGAGTTTAAGTGTCTCAGAGTGGTCCTGAACTCTCTGTGTAGTCGAGGCCCGCTTTGAAATTTTTTTACATTTATTCATTTTTGTATGTATGTGTGTCTGCACATATATGCCATGGTGGATGTGTGGAAATCGGGATAACTTAGAGGATTCCTTCCTCCACAGTATAGATTCAGGGAATTGAACTCAGGTCCTCAGGCTCTGGAGAGATTCCTTTATCCACTAGGCCCAGGCTTTTCATTTTTGATCCTCCTCCCTCAGCCTCTGAGTATCTAGCATTACACGTTACAGTTATGCCACCACCTGTCTGGTATAATCTTTTTCTTTGCTTTTTTGGGGGGGGTTTGGGAGGGATGTTGGTTTTTTTTTTTTTTTTTTTTTTTTTTTTTGCTTTGTCGAGACAGGGTTTCTCTGTAGCTTTGGAGCCTGTCCTGGAACTAGCTCTGTAGACCAGGCTGGTCTCGGAACAAACTGCTCTACCACTGAAGTCCAAAATAGCTCACGTCCTACTCTTTTTTTATTTCAGTGGTTTCCGGCAGCACTTCTTTCTTCCTTCCCTCCCTCCCTCCCTCCCTCCCTCCCTCCCTCCCTCCCTTCTTTCTTTCTTTCGATTTATTTATTTATAGTGTTCTGTCTGTGTGTTTGCCTGCAGGCCAGAAGAGGCACCAGCTCTCATTATCGATAGTTGTGAGCCACCATGTGGTTGCTGGGAACTGAACTCAAGACCTCTGGAAGAGCAGCCAGTGCCATCTCTCTAGCCCCTGGTCTGGTATAGTCTTAAAGTTGGGCGATTAGTCTCTAGAACTTTTTCATTTTGTAGAACTGAAACTGCCTAGAGTTTTCTTCCTCCTTTGACCCCTGGCCACCACCTCTTGTTCTCTGTCCTTATGGATGTAACCATACTATGGAGACTAACCTCAAACAACTTTGCAATTGAGGATGACCTTGGATTTTGGGGGAACGAGGAGGAAGCAGAGACAGAATATCACCACATGGCTCTGGCTGGCCTGGAACATACTGTTTAGCCCAGACTGTTACATGTATGTATGTGTACTGCATGCATGCCTGGTCAGCTCAGAGCTTTGCTCCTGTCACCTTTTTGTATGTGTGAGTGATTTATAATTTTCTGTTTTCTGCTTGTCAGCCATCCTCTTAAAGCCCAACTTTAAGAATATACCAGACCAGGGGCTGGAGAGATGGCACTGGCTGCTCTTCCAGAGGTCTTGAGTTCAGTTCCCAGCAACCACATGGTGGCTCACAATTATCGATAATGAGACCTGGTGCCTCTTCTGGCCTGCAGGCAAACACACAGACAGAACACTATAATCATGCGAGGATTTGCATTTATGTTCTGTTTTGAAAGTTACCTTTTTAGTCTTTTGGTGTGGGGGAATTTTTGTTTTATGTAACTTTGAAATAATTATAGATTTCTAGAAGTTGCAAAACTGTCCCGAGCAGGCCTGAGTTCTCATCCAGTTCCTTCTAGGGTGGTGTGTTGAGTAATTGTAGCTCAGTACTAGAGCACTGAGTTTGCCAGTTGTGCAGTGTGTCTGGATCCGGGGAACCTGTCCTTCCACTTCCTTAGTCCTGCTCAACTCTCAGCCCTTTGCAGCACTTCCCTGCAAAGGAGGACCAGGCAACTGTGCCCCTCCCCAGTCTGTGGATTGTTCTGCTGTCGCACATTTCTGTCAGCCTTCTGTTTGCTGCTGCCTTATCTGATTTGGGGTTCTGCTTGCAGCTGCTCACCAAGTCTGGGGTCGAAGTTATGTAAGCAAGTACTGTCATGCTACCCATAGCCGGCACCTCTCCCATCATCCTCTAGAACTGCTGGGGTTTCATTTCTTTTTTTTAATTAATTAATTATGTATACACTATTCTGTCTGTGTGTATGTCTGCAGGCCAGAAGAGGGCACCAGACCTCATTCCAGATGGTTGTGAGCCACCATGTGGTTGCTGGGAATTGAACTGAGGACCTTTGGAAGAGCAGGCAATGCTCTTAACCACTGAGCCATCTCTCCAGCCCCCTGGGGTTTCATTTCTTAGGCCTTGTGTGTCTGACTCTTCAGACCTGTGCTGTAGTGGAACGATTGTTGATGGCCTTTGGCTTGCCTAGCTCGTCAGTGATAGGTAAAACAGACTGGCCACCTGCCTCTGCTGTGCCCCTCAGCTCCTGCTTCACTATCCTTGTGTTTTCTGCCTGGTCACTCAGCGCTTCAGGACGTTTCTCCGAGGAGGAGAATAGGGTTCATAGTGACTGACATTACAAGAGTCCTTATGGGCTCAGGCCTGGTACAATTCCTGTCGCATACACCTCGTGTGCAGGTTGACTGGGAGGCAGTGACAGCACCGAAACTCCTTGAGAAGGGTTCATTCTGTGCAGCCGCTTCCTTTCTGGGCCAGCACTGTGGCCAACAGACTATGGAGCTTACTTGCCTTTTCCCTGAGTTTAGCAGTTTAGGGCACTGTTGGTCCCAAAACTTTTTATTTTATTTTATTTTATTTTGGATTTTTCGAGACAGGGTTTCTCCGTAGCTTTTTGGTTCCTGTCCTGGAACTAGCTCTTGTAGACCAGGCTGGCCTCGAACTCACAGAGATCGGCCTGCCTTTGCCTCCCGAGTGCTGGGATTAAAGGCGTACGCCACCACCGCCCGGCCCCAAAACTTTTTTAAATTTTTTTATTTTATGTGTATTGCAATTTTGCCTGCATGTGCATATCTATATGAAGGTCATATCCCCTCGAACTGGAGTTACAGACAGTTGTGAGCTCCCTTGTGGGTGCTGGGAATTGAACCCAAGTCCTCTGGAAGAGCACCCAGTGAGTCATCTCTCCAGTCCCCTAAATGTGTATCCCAGACTGAACTTAAACTTGTGATCCTCCTGTCTCCGCATCCTTCGTGTGAGGGTGGGAATAGGAATGGTAGTATCCCTCCCTTACGTGGAGCCCTCATGGCTTCTCTTCTGTTTTTAGTCTCATTCTGCACTTTTCCGCATTGGACAGATGAACAACGTGGAGCTGGACGATGAGCTTCTGGACCCAGTGAGTGGTGTGATGTTCCCTGCTCCCACTGAGCTGACCTTAGTGAAGGAAAGTGGCAGGGTCACGTGGTTAGCAGCTAGCATCTCCCAGAGACAGCATACAGGGTGTGGATATGGTCCCTGAGGCCATGAAAGTGTGAAGAGGTGGGCAGAAGCACTGTGTGAAGGAGACCGTGGAGCACAGAGACTTTGGGCAGGAGTGAGCTTAGTGTTGGTGTTCGGGCGAGATGGGTCTCTGAGGGATTAGGAGTCCTCAGGGATGAAGAGCAGCCATTTCCTCTGATCTTGGGATGGATTCTGGCACCCCAAAACAAGTTCTCCAGGGACTAGGAGGGTATAGTGCTCTTATAGAGGACCAGAGTTTAGATCCCAACATTGATGTCAGGTGGCCCACAACTGCCTGTACTTCCAGCTCCTGGGATCCAGCACCCTCTTTTGGCCTCCATAAGTACCCGTGCTCACATGCACATGGCTACACATGTGCATACAGATAATAAAAAATAAATCTTGAAAAAACAAACATGGGAATGTTTCCTCAGCCACTGCCTCCCCTGGAACTCGCTTGTCTTTGGTGCTGTCTGCTGCAGTTCTGCTTGTCCCTAAGAGTAGTGGTGCAGAGTGTTGCACCAGGTGCACAGGCATGCCTGTGAGTTTTGGTGTCCTAGAGGCAGAGCATTGGATCCCCGGAGCAGAAGTTACAGGCTAGTCTAAGCCATATGATGAGGATACCCAGAATCCAAACTTGGGTTTCTTCTGCTAGAGCAAACACTCTGATCATCCTCTGACCTCCATTTTAGCTTCTTTAGTGCTTTTGTTGTTCTTTTAGACTTGGGATAGAACCTAGAGTCTTGTGCCTACTGGGCAAGCACTGTGTCGCCCAGCTGACTCCTTTCTTGTTGTTATTCCCTTGTTTGTCTTGCTACAGAACCCAAGTTGACCTTGAATTTCCAATCCTCTGATTCTACCTCCTGGGAGCTAGGATTGTAGGTGTGCTCCACCACACTCAGCTTTGTTGAGTGTTTATAATGCTTTGTCTGTGTTTATAAGAAGGTCTGTGGCCTGGCGCACACCTTTAATCATAAGGGGGGCAGAGGCAGGCAGATCTCTGAGTTCAAGGCCAGCCTGGTCTACAGAGTGAGATCTAGTACAACCAGAGCTACACAGAGAAACCCAGTTTTAACTCCCTCCCCCATCCCACCCCACCCCCCCAAAATAGGATGGTCTGTGGACCTCTGTCCTGACATAGCACATCGTTGATTTTTAGGTTGTTAAACTAACTTTGTACTCCTGAAATAAACCTATGGTGTTTGCAGGGTCCCATTGGAGGATTTTTATGTCCATATCTCAGGGGATGTTTTTTTTTTGTCGGTTTCTTGTGACTTCCCAGCCTTGGTGTCAGATAATACTCAACTATGGGATTTGAGACTTAGCCCCTTTTCTTCACCTTGTTTCTATTCTTTTTTTTTTTTTTAAATATTTATTTACTTAATATGTATACAATATTCTTTCTGTATGCCTGAAGGCCAGAAGAGGGCACCAGACCTCTTTACAGATGGTTGTGAGCCACCATGTGGTTGCTGGGAATTGAACTCAGGACCTTTGGAAGAGCAGGCAATGCTCTTAACCACTGAGCCATCTCTCCAGCCCCCTTGTTTCTAAAAGAGCATGGGACTCCCTTTTTCTTCCACAGGAAGTGGACCCTCCTCACACCTTCCCCAAGGAGATTCCACACAACGAGAAGCTCCTCTCCCTCAAGTATGAGGTGGGCTCCCCATCCTCCCTCCTGAGCCTTGCCCTTTTCAGCCCTCTTCTCTGTTGCCTGGCTCCACTTGCACTCTGGTCCCTGGTCCAGTAATCAAGTACCTTGTGCCCTGGTCTGTACAGAGCCTGGACTATGACAACAGTGAAAACCAGCTCTTCCTGGAAGAGGAGAGACGAATCAACCACACGGTGAGGAGGCCGGGCTCGTGGCTTGTTGGCTTGGGTGCTGGGTGCTGGCATGTAGGGCCAGGCAATATCCCTGCTCTCCCCCCCCCCCCCCGAACCTCTGGGTTCTACTGCCAACGCTTTCATGTTTTGGGTATGGAGGATGGGGCTCTGAACATGTGACACCTGGCCCCAGATATTGGAAATTTCGAGGAAAGACTATAATCATCATGGTCAATAAAGCTCTTTTGCAGATGGCATACAGTGTCTCTAATGTTAGCAGCTAGTTGTGAATTTGTAGGGAATGTTGCTTACCTCCATGTGTCTTCCTGTGGCCCTCAGTCATCAGTGAAACATTGACTGGAGGCTGTTGTTAGCAGATTTGGGCTGAAAGCTGAACTTTGTACTGTGTGTGGTAGCAGCCCATGAATTTGCCAGCATAGCAGGTGCCTAGCTGCATTGCCCACCTTTGAGTGCACTGTGTTTCCCACCCCTATTTAGGCTTTCCGGACAGTGGAGATCAAGCGCTGGGTTATCTGTGCCCTCATTGGAATCCTCACAGGCCTGGTAGCCTGCTTCATTGACATCGTAGTGGAGAACCTGGCAGGCCTCAAGTACAGAGTCATCAAGGACAGTATCCTCCAGAGGCGCTCGCCATGGGCCACAATGGGTGGGGGTTCATTAGCAGAACCCAAGCATGTGCCTTCACAGGCAGACAGTGAAGAACAGAGTGGACCTGGCTCCTTAGAGACTACCCCCTACTATGCATGCACACAGCTTAACGTAAGGGTTGGCTGTGTCATACTCGGGCTGTGCGGGTCTCCGAGTTGTCTACTTAGCCAGTAGTTGTGCTGGCCCAGGTCATGAGATGATCTGGGCCAGGTAGACTGGTCATAGTAGTGAGACAAGCAGGGCAGGTGTGTGCTCCAGAAGTGCAGAGTGCCTGTCCTTGACGATCCCTGAGACATCGACAAGTTCACAGAGAAGGGCGGCCTATCCTTCTCCCTCCTGCTGTGGGCCACGCTGAACTCTGCCTTTGTGCTCGTGGGATCCGTGATTGTGGCCTTCATAGAGGTAAAGCCCTGTGCGTAGGAGACTGGTTGGCACAGGTCTCAGTGGATGGATGGCCCCTCTAGCTTACCCACTGTGGGCCCGGTTAGCTTGTGAGGATGGAGGCTTTCTGCCAGGGAGAACCCCAGTGTGGAACTGATGGGAAATATTCAGTCAGAGCGGAATACACACTGGGGCTTCCTCAGCTCGATTCCCAGTGCTATCCCATATTTAACCCAACAGTACAACCCTCAGCCCATCTCCTGACTCTCCAGTTCATACCCAGACCACAAGTGTACCGTAACACCTACCCCATAGTCACATACACCTTCATGGCCTTCACGTAGCTGACAGTGAGGTATTCTAGGGCCTGCAAGTTCTCAAAAGTTTGGGTAACTCATGTCAGTATCCAAGCAGAGAGGGCAGCAGGACCATTTCCCAGGGAGACTGTACTACTATCCCACAGATAGCCCCTCCAAAACACATCTTTATCCCAAGGCTTCCAAGAGTCCTCCCTTCTCCAGGTCCCTCTGTTCCTTTTTGTGGGGTGATAAAAGAAGGAATAGACAGCATCCAGAACCTTCTATGTGGATCTAGAGCAGCTGTCAATATATAGGAAGTTCTAGTTCCTGCTTGGTACATGATGAGTGTTTTGTCCATAATGGAGTATTTCCCTCACCTAGCACACTGGGGAATACAGAACCACCAGACTCTACCCTTGGCCCTTTATACATGCCCACCAGGGTTTTTTTCAGGGGTCTCTCCATTCTGGTCTGAAGTAGGGAGGGACCTCTACTTCCTGACATGAAGCCCTTCTCCACACCTGCTTCCCATGTTTCCTGTGGTTGTGGAAGCTGACCCCCTTACTCTACCTGCTCAGTGCCCCCTCTGTCTTTCCAGCCAGTTGCTGCTGGCAGCGGAATTCCCCAGATCAAGTGCTTCCTCAATGGGGTGAAGATTCCCCACGTAGTGCGGCTCAAGGTAAGCTGTAACTGCAGTGATCCAGGGCAGGGTGTAGGATTTCTTTTGGTGTTTGTTTGTTTGTTTTTGTTTTGTTTTTGAAGACAGGATTTCTTTCTAACTTTGGGGCCTGTCCTGGAACTAGCTTTGTAGACCAGGCTGGCCTCGAACTCAAAGAGGTCCGCTTGCCTCTGCCTCCCAAGTGCTGGGATTAAAGGTGTGTGCCACCACTACCCGCCAAGAATTTCTGCTGGCTTGATTAAGTCTGTCTTTGCTTGACCCTCCACACATGGCATAAACTGTGTGTACACGATGGCAGATTATACTTGTAAGAGTGGCAAAAACTGGTCTTTGTCTGCAGTAAGTAGTGCAGGAATATGAACGTTGTGATTGCAGTCACATACTACATGTCTGTAACTAAGGACTGTGTTCCCTGGGTGATATCAGAGCCAGAGGGGCTAAGCTAGGGTAGGAGAGAGCCTGCCTTTCATTCCCTATTTTCAAAATTTTCTCTCATACTTGTAATGTGTAATACTAATAGCATCCCAGTGCCAGAGACTGGGCAGTTGTCAACACAGTCTACTTATTACTGGTTTTAGCATGACCAGCCTTTCTGCCTCAAAAGGCAGGTGAGCATTGGCCACCTTTGATGTACTCCCTTGCCTGATATGCCATGACCTCCTTGGGTATTCCCCACCCTGGTGCCGCATAGCCAGGGAAAGGCAGTATGGTCACACTCTGGAAAGCAGGAGACCTATGTTGCTACTCTGCCATAGCATAGAGTAGATGTGATGCTTCTGGGCACAGAACTGACCTGTTACCCATAGTAGACTTTGTGGAACACTCTGGAATGTTTTGCTAAATACCTTTGGCTACCAGACTAGGCTTAGGAGACTTCCTCAGAATCTGCATTAAATATGTTATCCTTCCCAATGGCCCCCTCCTCCCTATACCAGAGATCATGTATCAGGGGAGAGATGTATATAATTTGTTTTTTGTTTTGTTTTGTTTTTGTTAATGGGCCCAGATGACAGAGTTAGCTTTCTTCTCACCCTTGACTGCCCTGAGCACCCACCAGACTCATGCAGTTCAGGGGAGTCACAGTCCCTCAGCTCCAGCCTTCATGGTTCCTGGACTGATGTGGGGAGGAATGCTGGGGTGTTCATGGAGTGGGTGCTAAAATCTCCAGAGAGCCATCCTGTCAGTCCCAGTTAGTGGTTGTCTCCAAGATAAAGCTGTGTTGGGCCTAGTGCAGAGGCACAGTCATAGGGCAAGGTTGAGCCCCTCCCTCAGGACCCCTTAGGGATATCAACACTAGATCCCCCAGGGGGGTGTGGAACAGGAGCCCTGGGTGCTGTCCTGCGTTTGTGGCACGGACGGTTGATGAGTGTGTATTCTCAGCAGCAGTGCGGCTTTTCTTGAGCTCTTGGGACTCAGGCATGTGTCCAGCATGTTTATTCAAACTCTGCATCTTCCTTTTTTCCAGACGCTGGTGATCAAGGTGTCCGGTGTGATTCTGTCTGTGGTAGGGGGACTGGCTGTGGGAAAGGTAAGAACAGAATGAGTGGTATTTGTTCCTCCTGAGTCTGAGATTCTTTGGGAGCACGCCCATGCATGGCCTCTGAGTACTGATTGCTTTGTGCTCCCAGGAAGGGCCAATGATCCACTCGGGTTCAGTGATCGCTGCTGGAATTTCACAGGGAAGGTCGACATCGCTCAAGCGAGATTTCAAGGTGAGTCCTTCCATGCACACATGTGGACTAATGATTCATGGATGTGTCTCAGCTGGTCTCCTGTCCACGCAGTCTTCATCCAGACCTCTAGGTCTCCCTTAACATCTACTTCCTGTCCCTATCTCTGACTCTAAGGACAGCCTGGTCTACTCCCAGTCCAGGTGGTTACAGACCATGTGGCCTCTCTATGGTCAGTCCCTAGGACTCTGGCGTTATATGCTAGTGTGATTCTGTTGGAAAGAATCTATAGCTCTGACCAGCTTCACAGAGGGACAATCACTTGAGGAAGGTCAGAGCTTAAATGGCTACTCAGGTGCAGTGTCATGTTTGTCACTGTTACCAGCAATAAGATGGGCAATCACACTAAACTCCTGTGTTGATGAGTCTATAGCTGTCTTTTGAAACAGTCACTCTGTATAGCCCAGGCTGGCCTTGAACTTAGGATTCTGTCTCAAGGCTTCTGAGAGCTGAGGTGCCAAAGATGCACCACCAGACCTGGCTGAGCAATCCTTTTTAAAATCAAGAATAAGTTTAGATTTTTCCACCCATTGGATTTTCTCCAGTTACTAAGGTAGAGCTGGACCAAGGAGCTCATAGACTTGTGGAGAAGTTGGGTCACTGTCACAAATGGAATCTTGTACTTATGTTCTCAGCTGTGGGTCCATGGGAACCGCCAGCTCTCCTGTTTTCTTCAGTATCTGTAATACTGCTCTCCGAATCCAGTAGCTGCTGCTGTGATTATAATGATGTGATTATTAAAAAATGGCCTTCTGCCTGATTATCTAGAAAAAGCACTCCCTGCCTCTTACATCTCTTCTTTGGTCCCTTGGTGGGACATGTTTCCAGCTTCCCTTCCTGTGAACCTCCTTCAGTACCCTCTGTCTTTCTTGTTCAGATCTTTGAGTACTTCCGCAGAGACACAGAGAAGCGGGACTTTGTCTCAGCTGGAGCTGCAGCTGGAGTGTCTGCTGCATTTGGAGCCCCTGTGGGTAAGGAGGGGCCAGTCCCACCTCATCTCTGGCTATGCCCTTTGGTGCTTCGTGGTTGGCCAGGCTGGGGAAGCAGTGCCTTTTTGTAGGCATGGTTCTGATGTTTGTTGACAAGTGCCAGGTGGGAGTTTAGGCAGGGTCTGACAGCCACCAGCTGTGGCCTGGTACCACCTAGCAGCTTCTCTGTGTTATGTCTTAATTCCTGGGGCCTCTGTTGGGCGTTGGCAATGGGCAAGCTACCTTTCGGCCTGGATGGCACTTTAGTCCTGCCACTTGCCTTCTAGGTGGGGTCCTGTTCAGCCTGGAGGAAGGCGCCTCTTTCTGGAATCAGTTCCTGACATGGAGAATTGTAAGTGCATGAGGAAGGCGCCCCGGCCAGGGTGGTCACACTCTGCCTCTCTCTCCCTCAAGGACTCTCCATAGTCAGTCCATCCTTTCGCATTGTAGAATCCGCCAGTGGGTCCATGTCTCTGCACCTGTCCCAGGTGTTCTTTGTGCTGGGAGCCCCAGAAAGACTACCTTCTTCTATATACTTGATTGGTTTGTCTGTAGAGCAGCAGCACCGCCTTTGCCCAGCCAAGCAGTCGACCCAGCCCCTTCCTTTTGTCTTAGATGAGGTATCCAGACACACAACTTTCCAAATGACAGAAGTGCCAGCCTCCATATGGTGTTCAGATGAGTGTTCTGTATAACTTGTAGATGTGGCTTTGAGGGGCTTGGGTGGATCCGGTAGAGCTTTGAGGACGCTGAGTACTCAGTGGACTGGGCAGGGTTCTGAGGGTGCTGGGCACACCAGGCAGGTCTTTGAGGCTCTGGCTTCTCTCTGCCACCCACAGTTCTTTGCTTCCATGATTTCCACGTTTACACTGAATTTCGTTCTGAGCATCTACCATGGAAACATGTGGGACTTGTCCAGCCCGGGCCTCATCAATTTTGGAAGATTCGACTCAGAGGTAACTTGCTGGCCACATTGTCCCACCTTACCTTTTCTGGTGCTACCTCAGAACCCTGTTGACTGCGACTTGAACATTACTTTGGGAAAATCTAATTCTTAGCAGGGATGTTGAGCTCTTGCTTGTCAGTTCAAGGAGCCTGTAGCGCTCTGGGAGTGTAAACAGGGTTTTGAGTGTACCACAACTGCAGTGTGAGATAGCTCCAGTGTCAAGTGCCAGGCTGCACACGCCACCCACACCAGCTCAGGCATGAGGGATTATAAGGTCTTCTCAGAGACCATTTATCTTACTTATGGAACCTCTGGTTCTGTACAAAAGTGCTAGCAGATTCATTGCACATAAACAGAGTTCCTATCCAGTCCAGCACTTTAAGCAGTAATTTCTCAAAGCCTTTGCTTTTTCCCCTCTGTACAGAAAATGGCCTACACCATCCATGAGATTCCTGTCTTCATCGCCATGGGTGTGGTGGGTAAGGACCCCTCCCTGTAGCATGGACCAGAGTCAGCCTGTGTTGGGGAGGATGGACTCCCAGCTCCAGAGTGGCGCAGGTCTGCAGTAGCCTTGTCATGGTCTCCACTCCTCAACCTTAGGCACCGCCCTGCTAGAGTTCTAATGCAGATGCATGCAGGGTGGGCACCTCAGAAAGACCCCAGAGCTTTAATTCTACTGAGGTAAAGCTTGAGACCTGGTGTGGCATTCCCTGGCGGCCAATGGGGACTTTACAACATCTGTGTTCTTATCCAGAATGGTTCACATTCCCCCTTCCTTTTTTTTTTTTTTTTTTTGGCCCCTCCTAGAATTTTTTTTTTCTCCCATGCTCAGCTCATACTTCTCTGTAAGAAGCTGAGTGGAAGGCAGAGCAGCCTTAGTGGTAATGCCTGGGAAGCCATCTGATAGTGCACCCTCACCAGGCCTTCCCACTTCGGGGGGGCCTCCACTGCCCTCCCTGTGAAACTAACATTAGTCTCTTCTGGTCACAGGTGGCATTCTTGGAGCTGTGTTCAATGCTTTGAATTACTGGCTAACCATGTTTCGAATCAGGTGAGAAAGAACCCCGTTTTGTGTAGCAGATTGACAGGTGCAATCCTACTGGGTGCAGGAAATGGACAAATTGTACTGGCCTTGTCAGTGAGGGTCCTTTCCTAAAAGTCTCAAGAATGTGTGGCCTGGATGGGCGGTGGTGATGCCCTCAGGAGTCAGATGCAGGCAGATCTCTGTGAGTTCGAGACCAGCCTGATCTATAGAGCTAGTTCCAGGACAGCCAGGACTGTTACACAGAGAAACCCTGTCTCGAAAAAAAACAAAAGGAAAAAGGAAAAAAAAAAAAAGAATGTTTGGCCTGGGGGAGAAGGACAAGAAGTGGAAGTAGGGGTCAGGAAGAGGCTGGAGGAAGTTCAGAGACAGAGTGTTCCTCCCCTGAGAAACGTTCCTCGGGTCTTGAGGTCTGTGAAAGTTAGCAGATGAAGTTTGTCCTGGAGAGCAGAGCCCTAGGTGAGTTAGCTACTGCCTGCCTTCTGCCTGGGGTGCAGCCTTTTGCTAGAGAAGAAGTGAAGGCACCAAGTGTCTTCCTGATGTTTGCACTGGCCTTAGCCGCTGTGGCAGTGTAGCAGGGTTGGTAGTTACTGAGAAATCTACAGCCATAGGAAGAAAGAGAACCCCAGGAGTCTGGGCTGATTGATCATTAAACCTGGCTTGTTTTGCCCTCTCATCAGTGGGGTCTGAGTCAGTTTGTCATGGTAACTACCAGGGGCAGGGCAGGTGAGGCTACCCCCGATCATCCCTGCAGCAAAGTCCACCCTGGCTTTGGTCTCTAGGTACATCCACCGGCCCTGCCTCCAAGTGATTGAGGCCATGCTGGTGGCTGCTGTTACAGCCACGGTTGCGTTCGTCTTGATTTACTCATCTCGAGATTGCCAGCCCCTGCAGGGGAGCTCCATGTCCTATCCGCTCCAGGTAGGCATAGGCCTTGGCTGGCCCTATGAACAGGACCAACTCTCCTGAACTCCAGTTTCCCCGAGGTAACAATACTAGTAGACTTTAGATTTGTTCTACACGTAGGGTCCCATGGTAAGCTGAGGCTGTGTTTCAGATGCCTGGTGAATGGGTGGTGTTACTAGACTGATCTCACATAGTCATTTCCAGACACCTCCTGGAGAGAGCTTTAGAATGGGACCGGGTTTAGATTAGAGAAGTACATACCTGTAACTGTATAGAAACCCTATAGGGATACTTGTGGCAGTCATAAGAGCCCCAGACAAAAGCTGCTTCTCTCCTTAGGCAAACAAATGATGTGTCCCTCCATGCAGTAAATGCACTCATTTGAGAAGACTGGGCCTACTGGTTCCCAGGGCCAGTGTCCAACCGTTGATTCTGAGGCATAGCTCATGAAGCTTCTGGATAGCAGGGACAGATGGACCTCCATCTCCCAGAGAGGTGGTCATACTAGCCAAATTTAAACTTGGGCTCTGTGTTCTGAGGCCAGATCCTGTCTGTGCTCTCCAGACTCAGGGCACATGGGCACTCAGCAGCACAGAGTCTGCCCTGTGCCATCTCTCCCCTGTGTCCTTTCTCTCAACTCTGCAGCTCTTCTGTGCAGATGGCGAGTACAACTCCATGGCTGCAGCCTTCTTTAACACCCCTGAGAAGAGCGTTGTCAGCCTTTTCCATGACCCACCAGGTATGTGCAGTAACATGTCTGTAACTTAGTAACTTACTAAGGACAGTGGGCACGTTCTTGGCCCAGCTGGGCTGAGGAATCATCTCTGGTATAGTGAGGTGTACTGGAGTGCAGGAACCAACATCGCAGAGTTGGGGACATGGGGTTACACAGTTCTGTAGGGTACCCGGTGGCCAAGCACCTGGGGAGGGACTGACTGAGCTCCCCATCTTCTCCTTTCTTCCTAAGGATAGTCACCTGAGTCACCTCCATCACTCTCTCCAAAAGAAAACCTAGCCTGATGACTCCATGCCCAGACCTTTCTGGCCTCAGCCAGGCCCTATATACCATGCCCAAGCCGAGCTAAGCAGCCTTAGGCCTGTGTCTCCGGCCCCTCCCCTTCAGTTTTAGTTTGCTTTCTGTTACTGTCAGTGGTAAAACACTGACCAAACCAACTTGGAAAGGAATGGGTTTAATTTAGCTTATAGATGACACTCCATCTTCAAGGAAAGCTGAGGCAGGACCTGAAGTGTTCCATGGGGGAACACTGCTCTCTGCTTCCTCAGCTACCTGCCTTACACCATTCAGTCCCATCTGTCCAGGGATAGCACTGCTCACAATGTGACGGATACCCCCACATCAATTAGCAGTCAAGAAAATGCCCCCACAGACATGCCCACAGCCAGTCTGATGGAGGCAGTTGCCTAGTTCCCTTTTCACAAGTGTGTCATGTTCACAACTGAAGTTAACCATGACATCCACCCTACCCATGGGGACAGTGTTTTTAATTGTTTCCTGTCATAAGGCTACTGGGAACTTCCCTATTGGGGGTTGTCTCTAGGAAAGTATCATGAAAGTTAATGGATAAATTTGGCATAGAATAAGCCAATGGCCTTCCGCTAACCTCAGTAATCTGTTCCGTGGTGCTCTTAGCCACACAGACTGATGGCGCATCCTCCCATCCTGGCCTTCACATAGACCATGTGGTTCCTTTCGATTCGGCCTTCTCTGCATTCACACCTCAGCGTCTTGTCTAGGAAGGACATACCTCCCAGGTCTTGGAGTTTGATCACTGATCACCGGAAGTGGTTTGGGGGCCCAAAGGGACACGTCATAGTCACCTCTCACCTCTGGTGTGTTGCTCATTGTTGCAAGGCTCCCAGACTCAGGCCGTGCTCAGGCTCAGGGAGGCTGTCCTAGTGCAGCTGGCATATGTGAAGTAGAGCAACCGGGGTCCAGCTGAGCTGGAAGTCTGCTGCTGGTCTCAGGAACATGGGCTTCCACTTTGTCCCAGACGAGGGCCTCCACATGGGGCAGGGCACATTCACATCAGGCTGACAGTTGTTCTGGGGAATGTGATGCTCACCTGGGGCCTGAGTGGGCCCTGAATTTGACACCTATGCTGCCAGCTTGAGGCCACCTTGCTCTACTTCTCACCATCACTTCTGACTCTGGGGACCTACCTTTCACCTGGAGAAGCTGAGAATGCAGAGCTTTCTGGGACCACTGGGAATCGGGGCTCTGGTGGCCTGGTTCTCAGGATGGATGCACATGGCAGGCAGGACATCACTGCACAGACCTGAATTCCAGCTGCAGCTCAATGACCTTTCTCTTCCCTAGGCTCCTACAATCCCATGACGCTAGGCCTATTCACCCTGGTTTACTTCTTTCTGGCCTGCTGGACCTATGGCCTCACGGTGTCTGCTGGTGTCTTCATCCCATCACTGCTCATTGGGGCTGCCTGGGGCCGACTCTTTGGCATCTCCCTGTCCTACCTCACAGGGGCAGCAGTAAGTTGGGGGAAAACATCCCAGAGCCCCACTGCTCAAGTATTCTGGTGACCCAAGGGGCCAGAACAGGGGACATCAGGGTACCTAGTGCAGGTAGACAAAAGTTCTGATGCTCTCGAATAACCACATCATGTAACTGGAGACGTGTGAAGAATGGGAAAGGGCCGGGAAGTGGTGGCATAAGCCTTTAATCCCAGCACTCCGGAGGCAGAGGGAGGCGGATCTCTGTGAGTTCGGGGCCAGCCTGGTCTACAAGAGCTAGTTCAAAAAAAAAAAAAAGGTGGATAGATAGTACCTGATCCAAGGTGACAAGAGACACCCATTTCAAGATGTCAGTCACATCTCCTGGAAGCAAGGATCTGAGGAAAGCAGCCCCAAGGTGAGAAACGAGTTACGTTTTGTATGNAGAGAGAGAGAGAGAGAGAGAGAGAGAGAGAGAGAGAGAGAGAGAGAGAGAGAGAGAGAGAGAGAAAAGGAGCCCAGGTCCATCCAGCACTGAGCTGCATGTAGGCCTCTCGGCCCTCCCTCTCCCTAGCTGCTGGTGGAGCTTGGGGTTTTAATCTGTGTTTTCTCACTTGAGTCATTTGGTAATTAAAGACGGGGTAGCAGCAGGACTCCTATTCCTGCCCTCCCCCGTCCTAGGTCTCCTTTGGTCGGGTTCTGTCTTTGAAGGTGTGATTCATAAGAGTGATGGCTTCGAACATCAACAGTTCAGTGGCATTTATTAGGGGCATCCCGAGCTCTTCCTTCACCCACTGTTACTCAGTTGTTTCCCCTTCCCCAGCTCCAGTAGCCTCTAGCTTCCTTTTTGTGTCTGGGCTCACCTGTTGCCAGCATTTCCTAGACACACAGTGTACACCCTCATGTGTCTCTGCAGTCTTCAACTGACTGTGATGTCCATTTAATTCATCTCTGTTGTAACATGTCCTAGAATTTTTTTTTAAGATTTATTTATTATTTATGTATAGTGTTCTGCCTGTATGTGTGTCTACAGGCCTGAAGAGGGCACCAGATCTCATTACAGATGGTTGTGAGCTGCCGTGTGGTTGCAGGGAATTGAACTCAGGACCTCTGGAAGAGCAGCCAGTGCTCTTAATCGCTGATCCATCTCTCCAGCCCCTGTCCAAGAATCTTTTTTTTCACATCTGAATGTCTTTCCTTGGGTGATCCAGTGTGTCTGAATAGGCAATATATACTTTTGTCCTGCTGTCCTTCTTCATGTAGGTTCCTCAGCTCAAAGCAAGCCCAGACTTGTGAACTCATGGGTGTGGGCAGGTGGTAGGTAGAGTCTGTATACCTTGTCCCTATACAAGGTACAACACAAGTTGTAGCGGAGTACACTGGAGTAGGTGTTCTGCATGTGAGCCATGGAATTCACTGCTGTGTGTGGGTCCTTAGGCCCAGGCATAGCATCTTCACTGGTCTCCTCCGGCAGATGTGGGTGATGGTTGCCACTGCCTCTGATACCTATCCATGTTGTGTTACACAGATCTGGGCAGACCCGGGTAAATACGCCCTGATGGGAGCTGCTGCTCAGCTTGGTAAGCCCCAGCTCTTGCCCTGTTTGGTGAGTGGGCCTCACTTGCACCCTGCTCACCCATTTTGAGTTCCAACAAGGCTACCTTTTGCCATTCACGTGAGCAAAATAGGAAGTGAGGCAGGTGAGGTCAACAGCCCCATAGCACAGCCAGATGGTGATAGTCAGGGCCTGGCAGTAATGATCCTTGCTCTGGGGTCTGGAAAGATGGGTGGGTGAAAAGATTGCAGACATAGCAGAGCTGGGGATCCTGTGTTTAGAGGGATTGGGGCTTATGACTACCCCCACAGGTGGCATCGTGAGAATGACTCTTAGCCTGACAGTCATCATGATGGAGGCCACCAGCAACGTGACCTACGGCTTTCCCATCATGCTGGTGCTGATGACTGCCAAGATTGTGGGCGATGTCTTTATTGAGGTATGCAGCATGAGAGGGGTGGTCTGTCCTCTGCTTACTCTGGATGCTGACCTTATAGCCTGACACTGGGGTTTGAGGAACCTGCAGAAGGAAGAGGGCCCATTGAGCCTACTCCCTTCTTCAGGAGTAGGGCAGTGGTGGGGCCCTGAGGGAGGCAATGTGCCTTAAGGTCCCCTGGGCAGTGTCCTAAATCATGACTCTGTTACCCAGGGTCTCTATGACATGCACATCCAGCTGCAAAGTGTGCCCTTCCTGCACTGGGAGGCCCCGGTCACCTCGCACTCGCTCACTGCCAGGTATGGTCAGCTGACCTAAGCTCTCAGGTTCCTGGGTGCTGTGGGAGGACATGGACAGGGAAAACACTGAGTGCCTGTGGAGAGCCCAGGTACCAGGTTCTCACTGTAGCTTTCCATGGCTGTTCTCCCAGTGCCTGGGAAAAGGGGTCTTGGGGTCCCAAGTCTTATGGCTTGTCAAGTATTGATATGATAAAAAAGCTCTTAAGGAAGTGCCTCAACAGCATGTAGTATAAATGCCACTGAGATTGTATCCTTGGGTTGGGCCTCTTGGCAGGGAAGTAATGAGCACACCTGTGACCTGCCTGAGACGGAGAGAGAAGGTTGGTGTCATCGTGGATGTCCTAAGCGACACAGCATCCAATCACAATGGGTTCCCCGTGGTGGAAGATGTGGGAGACACCCAGGTAGTGTGGGCACCTCTCTGAATATGTTTCTTTTTATTTTGTACCCTGAGCAGCATATATTGGGGGAGTTCATCTTGTAGTTTGCCTGAACAAGATGCCTTTTTTTTTAAAGATTTATTTTCATTTTATTTATGTGTTTTGCCTGCGTGTGTACCAGCTGCATTCCTGGTGCCTGCAGAGGTTAGAAGAGAGTATTAGATCCCCTTGGAATTGGCATTACGGATGGTTGGTTGTAAGCTACCATGTGGGTGCCTGGAATCAAGCCCAGGTCTCCTGCAAGAGCAACAAGTGCTGTAACCACTAATCCATTTTTCCAGCCCGTGAACAGGAAATCTTGTGTTGCATGTAAAGTAAAATCCCTTTCTTAGTGTCCACAGACTACAGGCCTCGTGTAGTTCTGACTGGACTGGACTTCTCAGTCATGGTGTTGTGGCTGTGGCATCTATCGGGAGGTGCTGCTGGGATGTGAGCCCAGCTAATGTTTACCCCCTTGTCCGGTTCTTACTCTGCTGGGTTGTGTTGGATATTGGCACTGGTAGGGCTTGAAAGAAATGTGAGAAACATACTTGGCTTATGTCTTGCTACCTGTTGATTCCATTTTTAGCAGCTGGCTTCCATGCTCTGCTGGCAGAGTTGGCCCTGTCTCGGATACTTTAGGGATTAGCAGGAGCATGTTGGAGAGATCCCCACTTTATGGCTTGTGCTTCGAGGTGGACCACTAAACAGTAACCATGGGCCAGTGGAGAATCTGGCCTGAGTTTCCCACTGCAGTCTCAAGGCCTCTGACTCTTTCGTTTTCTGCAGCCAGCCAGGCTCCAAGGCTTGATCCTGCGCTCCCAGCTCATCGTGCTCCTGAAGCACAAGGTGTGTCCAGCAGTCCGTGGGTGGGCATGTCCTGGGCACCATCCTTCACAGTGACACACACGTAACTGACTGCTGCCTGCAGGTGTTTGTGGAGAGGTCCAACATGGGTCTTGTGCAGCGGCGCCTGAGGCTGAAGGACTTCCGTGACGCCTACCCACGCTTCCCCCCAATCCAGTCCATCCACGTATCCCAGGATGAGCGGGAATGCACCATGGACCTTTCTGAATTCATGAACCCCTCTCCCTACACAGTGCCCCAGGTACTTATTGACCTGAAGGAAGCAGGGGCAGGGCTGGGGTATGATTGACCTCCAGGGTCCCAGCTCGATGCCTTGTACACTTTGAAAAGGTGGTAAAGAGCCTCTGGAATCTTTGGAATAACTGCTGACAAGTAGATAGGAGGCTTCCAGGGGTTGTACATGTGGGCCTTACTGCCTGGGGTGGACCATCTGGCCAGAATTCATCAGGAGCAGCCTCAGAGAATTTGGGCTTCAAGTAGCAGTGGGCCTAAGAGAACCCTCCTAGCAGCACACAGAGGCTTAGAGTCAGGCATGGAGGGGAAAGACAGCTTAGGACCCTGGAAACACCCGGTTTGGGGGAGTTGAGCCTCTTTTCCACAGTGGGTAAGTGTGCTAATGGCAGTTGTCTACTTTGCAGGAGGCGTCTCTTCCTCGAGTGTTCAAGTTGTTCAGGGCCCTGGGCCTGAGGCACTTGGTAGTAGTAGACAACCGCAATCAGGTGAGGCTGTTCTCTGTTCTGCTAGAGTGCTGGAGCTGGCTCACACTCTGCTTTCTGTATCCCTAGTAGGTTGTGGGTGGGCATTTGTCTTGTCTGTCTCAGAACAGTGAGCCTATGGCCTAGCCTGGTGTTGCACACCTACTTAGCACAGTAGGTAGAGTATGCCATCATATGGAGCAGAAGTAACCTGGTGTTGTTTCTGCAGGTGGTCGGGCTGGTGACTAGGAAGGACCTGGCAAGATACCGCCTAGGGAAGGGAGGCCTTGAAGAGCTTTCCCTGGCCCAGACGTGAGGGTTGGCTCTACCCTTGTGCAGTGGCACCTGAGCCCCTCTGCACCTCCTCCCAGGGTCCCTGGTCTCAGCCAAAGCCTTGCCCCCTGGGCAGTGCAACAGCAGGAGCAAATGCCTTCCCTGGGCCTGGCTGGTGTGGAGGCCAGACCCTTTGTCTTGGGCAGTTGGTTTACATCGTCAGCACTTTCCTTGTTCCCTGAACCCTTCACCCCTTGGATTTGCCCCTCTCCTGGGTTCCAAGGATGAAATGTGCGATCGCACCCCTTGTGGCTCACTTTTCAGAGCCAATAGAAGCTGGTGCGTGCGTGCGTGCGTGTGTGTGTGTGTGCGCGCGCGCGTGTGTGCGAGAGAGAGAGAGAGAGAGAGAGAGAGAGAGAGAGAGAGAGAGGGGCAGGCAGACAGACATGAGCTACTACCTATTGCTGTTTCTTCTCTGGCTCTGAGCACCTATGCTGTGGTTGTACTGCCCACACTAGCCAAGAGCTAAGAGCTTCAGCAGCAAGGGCATGAGGAGCTGTACAGCCTGGAGCAGGCTCTATTGGGGAACCCACATGTGCCGTCTCATGTCTTTGTCTAAAAGATGGGGAGACTGGTTCTATGCCTGGGGCTTGAGAGCTGAAAATCCCATGAAGATTGAATCTGAGTCCACCCACATCTGCCCCAGGCTTTCAGAGCTGGGGGTCATGACACTGGACCACAACCGGAAGGCAGGTCTTTCCTCAGCACTTAGGGCCCTGCTGTCCATAGTGACTTGCTTATAACTGTACTGTATACACCCTGGGCATTGACCTCCCAGGACCTGACCCTAAGATGAGCCTCAGACTCCCTAGGATGGTGGCTCTGTGAGCACCAGAGCCATGGAGCCTCACCTCTAAACCCTGTATTGTCAAAGCTAGCACCACTGAACCAAGCTAGATCTGACATGCATCAGTCACCTTCAGAGTCTTCTCCCCAGGATACTTTGTAAAGATAATTGCAGTGTCTCTGGCACATGTCTGTCACAAGGCCACATGGGTCCTTCTTTGGAAAGTTGGCAGCTGCTGCCTCTCAGTTGTCATTCCTCCAAAGGAGTGGCTCTTTCTTCTCTGAGCAGATGGACTAAGTATGTTGTTGAGTTGAGATATGAGAAATGAGAGATTCCCGTCTGCCTAAGGCTCAGCATTCTGGGGAGTTGGGCATGCAGTATGGTGATAAACTAGTGCAGGTGGCACCTCTATACACAGTAGCTGCTGTCTGTGAGGGGCGGTGGATGCAGCTCTCGACGAGTACTGTGGCTAGCCTAGGAAGGGTTGTTCAGGGACTCTGACCTCATCCCCTTCTCACAGCCTTTCTCTCAGGCTCACTACAGTGTGGTTTCTGTCACCTGCTTGGATGACATCCTGTCATCAAGCCTGGGCTTGCCAGGCTCTGCATAACAAGAAGTTGTAACTGACCCACCTTGCCTGCTCCACTGGCCCTGGTGGGTAGGTCTTCGTGACAAAGCCAGGGGCGCTCTGGATTGGGAGGGGCCATATCTAAGTTTGACCCAAGGGGATGAAAAGCACTGCACAGGGCCTCAAAGACTTGGTACCAAAAAAGCATGTGCAATCTGTCCACAGTTCTGTGTTGGCTACATGTTGAAATGATATTTTTGGATATATTAGGTTAAATAAAATAATCAAACCTTGTCTCTCCCAATATTCTCATTGTGACTCATGGGAAGGCTGAAACCCCAGTGGCCTCATCTGTGACTGCCATCCTTCCCTCTGGGTATCTGGCTAGCTGTGTCTCGTTTGCTTAGGACCCTCACTTTCTGCTCTATGTGTGGGACACAAGGTTCCTGAACAACCTCTTCATCATGATCATAACCCAGTAACTCCGGAGCCAGAGGAGGCCCTTTTGCAAGATGGATGCTTCATAGTCCCCCCACATCCTTCCAGGAGCCAGATGTTAGGGAAGCCACAGGACAGGGTAGATGAAGACTCGGGTTCCACTGGCAGTTGGCCATGAAGTCATAGGGTTCTGTGAGAAAAAGAAGGTTCTAGACTAACTCAGCTGTACCTGCCTCCTTCAGCAAGATTCACTGAAGAGGTGGGTGGAAGGGCAGGAGCCCACTACCTCATACTTAACTGCTCTCAGGGGTCCACAGCCTCTCCCGACTCATCTTCCCCCAAAGGGCCACAGTCTCCACTCCTGACCCTGTCTTCTCCCCAAGATACAGACCTTCCCTCTTGACCCTCACTTCCCTAAGTTCCACAGCCTCTCTAAATCCTTTCCTCCTCTGACCCAAAGCCTTCTCTTCTGTCCTTCAACTGATCCCCAGTCCCTGCAGCTTTCTGGCCTGGGAATACTTGCCTTCCTCCAGCCAATCTCAGCCACCCTGGCCTTGGTGTCCAGCTCTGGACACCACAGAGGCACTAATGCCATAAAGCTGGGCTACAGGTAGTGACTGCTGGTGAAGCCATGTCAGGTGAGTGGAGAGGAGGGGTGTACCTCTAGCAGGGCTGCTCTCTGACCCAGCAGGAGCTTGGGATGGCACTGAGCAAGGTTACAGGAACTACTCTGTCCCTGTGCGTGAGCTCGCTAGGTGCCTCCTTCTGTTGCTAGCGGACAGCCCCTCACTGGGGCTTTCACCTTCACAACTGAACCCACTCGAGGACCTGGAGCTTCTCTTAACAGAAGGCCTAGCCAGTCCCGAGCCCTTGGGTGTGGATACCTTAGAGAGGTATGAGTGCAGTGGCCCGGCGTCCAGCTGCGTGGTCCCTGAACACGACACCCCTAAGCAGCGGAAACAGCTGGAGCAGTGGTGAGCCTTGAGGAGCATGAGGAATGGAGATGACACACGGGGGCGGGGGTAACTTCAAGAGAAGCACAGCTTGACCCAGCTGCTCTGGCCCTGACCAGGGTAGCTGAGCTGCAGGCTGAGGTAGTTCGCCTGAGGGCACACAGGGAACGCTGTGAGCATGCCACACTCGGCCTGCTTCGTGAGCTGCTGCAGGTTCGTGCTCGTGTGCAGCTCCAGGCCTCAGAGCTGCGCCAGCTGAGGCAGGAAGTGCAACAAGTGGCCTGGAGCCCCGAGAAGGAGGCCTTAGAGGTGAGACATTGGGCAGAGCAGCAGACACAGGCACGCGACTCTTCCTGGTGCTTGGAACAGCTTACTGAACCCTGACCCTACTGATTCCCATGGCTCCATGCTCTGGCTCCTACACACCCACCTGCACTGGTGCTGGAGGGACTTTGTAGGCAGCAGACTTGGCCTGCCTAGTCCTCCTTTCCTCCTTACAGCTGTCTGGGCCCCAGAGCCAGAACCAGATACAAGCCCTGGATAAAAGGTAACACACATGAGAGACAAGCATAAGCTTCAGTGGGAAGGGCTGGGACCACTGCTTCCCTGCAGCAGCTGGTGTTAGGGCCTGCGTGGGTGTCCCTTCCCCCAGGTAGTAGTGTCTAAACGATACCTATAGTAGTCCAACTCAGACTAGGTTCTGCATACAGTGGGACCGACTGTCCAGGCGGTGGGAGGCTGGTGGTCAGGCCCCATGGCTACAGCTGTAGCAACAAAGGCTGCCTAGCTGCTCTGGGGCTGGCAGAGAAACTCCTTATGCCAGGCTGGTGGAGGTCCGAGAGGCTTTGACACAGATCCGGAGGACACAGGTGTTACAGGACACAGAGCGGAAATGTTCTGAGCAGGAGATGAACCTCAGGTGGGCCAATTCCCTGGATTATCACCAAACCAGTTTTGTGCACACGTTGAAAGTCTCAGGCCTACCCTGCCCTGTGCCCCTAGTGCCGCCAGTGGGCTGTCCTCTGCCATTAGTGCCGCACTGCTGACTGCTGGGAACCCCATCTTCCTGCTCTCCCTTATTTGGTGCCTTGCCCTCACTAGGGACTCCAAAGTCTATTTCTGCTTCCATGTGTGATCTGGGCAGGTTGTGGACCCCAGCCTAAGATGGACCCAGGGTCCCAAAGCCCACCAGGCTCCCTGTGGTTCCCCAGATGAGTTAGTGTTACCACACCTACTGCCTCTAGGCTGACCAAGCTGACTGACTTGCTGAGGCAAGAGGAACAGGGCCGGGAAGCAGCCTATAGCACCCTGCAGAGGAACCAAGAGGATACCAATGAAAAAGTGGACCGTGGGTTGTCCAAGATGCAGGTACCTCTTGAAAGCCAAACCTAGCTAGCCTAGGCAGGAGTCATCCAAGTCCCTGAGTGACCTCCAGTGTCCCTAGCCTGTGGCCTGCGGTTGTTTATCAGTGTATACAATAACACAAAGGTAGGCTCACCAGTGCTGCCCTGCCTGATGTGGTGGCCTCTCATCCCTTGGCATTGCCCACTCCCTGACATTAGCTGCTGCGTTCTCAGGTATTGAAAATTTACTTGTACCGTCGCATAGCCACGTTTCAAATGCTGTGTTGTCTCTCACTGACTATCTCAGTTGAGCTATCAGAAAAGAAACATCCGGTCCTAAAGCCCCTTCTGCAGCTATATTCAGTCTCAGCTTTTCCCTCAAGTAGGAGTCACAAATTCCTAGGGCAGAATGTCCTCCCTTCTACTTGGAATCCTTAAGAGGAGCCTCTTTTCCTCATGGGGCTGAAGAACGGTTACGCATGCCTGCCACCCAGCTCCTGGGCTCTATAAATAGACACTAGGGACTACAGCTGCTGTTCTGGGTGTCCAGTCTCCTCACAGGACAGTGTGGGCTGAGCGTACTGGGTGCTTCCAGCTGTCCCAACATCATTTTGCTGCCCAGGGGTAGTGGCATCTTTGTCCGAGCTGCTGGGAAGCTAACACATTGGCATCAGCAAGAGTACAAGAGCTTTGGGAGAAGGGTTCCTCGTAGGCTAGGCACAGAGGGCCCAGGCCCTTTGAGGGCTCTTCAGCATTGGTGTCAGGACTTAACACCCCAATATCTGTGTTTTTATAATAAAGTTTTATTGGCACAGAGCCATGAGCATTTGTTTAACAAAGTGACAGTGGCGACTTTGGACAAGAGTTGGGACTCTACACAAGAGACCCTGTGAACTTGAAATGTTTGCTGTCTGGTCATGCAGAAAAAGTGGCTGAGGGATTGGTGTGTAGCTCAGGTGATGGTGTACTGGCTTAGCATGCACGAAGTTCTGGGTTCAACCTCCAGCACCCCTAAAACTGAGTGTGGTGGTACATGCTTGTAATTCTAACCCTTGGCACATAGAGGCTAATTCAGAAGTTCAGTATCATCCACTGCATGACAGATGTGAGGCCTGGACTACATGAGACTCTTAAAATCTTAAAAGAAAAATAAAGACAGCGGTGGGTGCTGCACACCTTTAATCCCAGCACATGGGAGGCAGAGGTAGACAGATCGCTGAGTTCGAGGCCAGCCTGGTCTACAGAGCGAGTTCCAGGACAGAGAAACCCTGTCTTCAACACCCCCCCAAAGAAAAGTAGCCAACCCTGTTTTAGGCTTCCCTCTTACAAGGCAGGGAGACCAGCAGTGGCTCAGATGATGTGAAAACTTCCCTGAGAACCATCTTCTCCCAGACTCAGGGCCTGAGAGCTAGGCCTGTTGTCAGGAGAGCTCTATGACCATGAAGAAGGTGCTAGGTAAATGGATATTATGAAATAGAAGGTTTCTTAAGACCTTTCTTTGGTACATGTAGGGAGGTGAGAGCTTCACTGTAAAGCTCTGGCTAACCTCAAACTCCCAGCAGCCCCCTGTAAACCTCAGCCTCCTGAGTACTGCAGTTACAGGCCTGTGCCACAACGTTCGGCTTTGTCAAATCCTAGCAGTCCTGGGGAGATTAAGAGAAACACATTCTCACTACAAGTAGGGAAGGGGCCAACAGAGTTAAAGAGAGGCTCTAAGTTCAGCCTGGCAAATAAATAAGCATAGTGGGGCTTCTTACAGGCACATGGGTAACAGGCAGCGCAAGGCCAAAGAGCTCCCATGACCTCACCGTCAAAATGTTCCTTCTTCTATACTCCAGCATGGAGTAGTTGGGTAGGGGGAGTGGTGGTTGTAATGGCACAGAAAGGTCTTGTGACTCTCCCCCCCTCTTGCCCAGAGGGACTGTTAGCCCCACTCCCATAGACAAAGCTACCTGCTCAGAGCTGTTTCTCATGGCCATTACTGCAGACCAAGATTCTCAGAGGTGACCACAGCTGTTCAACTCCATAATGGCACTGGCTACGTCAAGTCCTAAAGGTGTGAGGTAGAGAGGCCAGAGGCTGGGTTGGGTCTTTAGACCCTCAGAGCAGCAGGAGTGCAGCATAGAGAGGAGGCAAAGCCCAAAGGGTTCCGTCTAGTTTTCCCTCCTACCCCCTTGATGAGGCCTGTGCATGGAGTGCTCCTACTTGGATGGGGATACTCTCACACCTCCTCATACTGAGGCTCCAGCTTGGCATGGAATCCAGTGCCCCTTGCACAACCTTCTCTGGATGCATCCGGGGTTCTGGATGTGTGCTGAACTGTCTGGGCTCCTGTGACCTTGACCTTTAGGGCCCCTTCTGGCCTGTGAGCTAGCATTTTGAGGGACAGTGGGTCCTATCTGCCCTACCTTCCTTCCTGCCCAGTACATGCAGCCTGGCTGTGCAGGGATTGGAAACAGGGAGGGATATACCAGGCAGGGAAGGATGACCAGTGAGGAGGCCTCAGGTGACCATGTGACCCCTCCCAGGACCAGGTGACTAAATTCAGTGAGGATATGAGCATCCGCTTCCTAAAGAGGGAGGCCAAACTGTGCAATTTTCTTCAGAAGTGTTTCCTGGCCATGGAGCAGGTGAGAGCCTGGGCAGTACCCAGTTCCTCATGGATTGCCCGTGGTGTGGGGGGGGGGGCAGTCCCAGATTCACAACAGCTAGTGCTGTCTCCACAGAGAATGAAGTCTTCAGAGAGCTCACGTCTGATGGCAGAAAGCAGCCTTCGAGAGGAACTGGAAAGCCGCTGGCAGAAGCTACATGAACTGACAGAGGAGCGCTTGCGGGCCCTGCGGGCACATCGTGAGGTGGGTGGGCCTGGGTGGCCAGAAGGCAGGGAGATGGGGTTGGCACCAAGGCTCAGGGCCACTTCTGCCACAGCAGGAGGAGGAGGGTCACCTACTGGAGCAGTGCCGGGGCCTGGACAAAGCTGTAGTCTACCTGACCAAGTTTGTGCGACAGAACCAGGTGTCACTGAATCGTGTCCTGATGGCTGAGCAGAAGGCCCGGTGGGTGTCATGTCAGGACAGTGGGCCACCCAGTCCCTTGCTCAGCTAACCCCTACTGAGCTCAGCTGGGGAATGTCCTGCTTCTGCACCTGCAGCTGTCAGTTAAACACTAGGCCAGTTGGGCATGTTAGGACAGACTAGCAGCCCTCTGCTGGAGCTCCTGTCCCTCCACCCTGATCCTCGCTCACAGCCCCTTCTTGGTAGCACCCATCCTCTGGTCCATGGAATCGCTTGGAAGGTCCCAGAGCTAGCGAGCAGGTCCCCTCACTGGGTAGCGCTAAGGGACAGTTTGAACATCAATATGCAGGGAAGCCAAGGTGAGCTTGGAGGAGAGCCAGGCCGGAGAGCTGGCCTCGTACATCCAGGAGAATCTGGAGGCTGTGCAAACGGCTGGCAAGCTAGCCCAGCAGGAAACTCAGGGTGCACTGGAACTGGTAAGGGGCTGAGTGAAGTGGAGGTTGGTGGGGATCCTTGTGGACATAGGCGTCCAGCTAGCCTCCCTGACTCCATTGTCTCGTGCAGCTTCAAGAGAAGAGCCAGGTCCTAGAAGGGTCAGTGGCAGGTCTGGACCAGCAGCTGAAGGACCTGAGTGACCATTGTCTAGCTCTCAGCTGGAAGCTAGACCTGCAGGAGCAAACACTAGGCGTGAAGCTGTCTCAGGTGAGGTGGGCAGACTCCCACGGAAGGGCGGTAAAGGAGATGGGGCCAAGGGTAGAGACCTCTGCACGAGGTAGGGCAGCTCCTGCAGGACTCTCAGCCTCTTGGCACTCTCTCTCTCTCTTTCTCTTTCTCTTTCTCTCGCTCTCCTTTCTCCCTCCTTCTCTCCCTCCCTCCCTTCCTTTCAGCAATTCCCCTTTAATCCCACATGCCTTTAATCCCAGCACTCCGGAGGCAGAGGCAGGCGGATCTCTGTGAGTCTGAGGCCAGCCTGGTCTACAGAGTGAGTTCCAGGCCAGCTAAAAAATCTGCTTGAAAAAACAAATAAAGAAAAACACATTTTAAAACATACAGTTCAATGGATTTTGTTTGGTTCTATATTTTATTTGAGTTCTTTTATATATTTTTAATTTATGTGTCTGTGTGTACATGCCACATGTGTGTGAGTGCTCAGACAGGCCAGAAGAGGACATCAGTCTCTTGAAGCTGAGGTTACAGGTGGTTGTGAGCCACCCAACATGGGCACTAGGAACCAAACTCCAGTCCGCTGGAAGAGCAGCAAGTGCTTCTAACTGCTGATCCATTCCTTCAACCCATTATTGTTTTTTTAGTCGTTGTTTTGTTTTTCTTTTCTCTTAATTTGACTCACAACCATTTTTTAAAGATTTATTATGTATACAGTGTTCTGGCTATATGTATGCCTGCTGGCCAGAAGAGGGCACCAGACCTCATTACAGATGGTTGTGAGCCACCATGTGCTTGCTGGGAATTGAACTCAGGACCTCTGGAAGAACAGCCAGTGCTCTTAACCTCTGAGCCATCTCTCTAGCCTCTTGCTTTGATTTTTTTTTTGGTTTTTTTCGAGACAGGGTTTCTCTGTGGTTTTGGAGCCTGTCCTGGAACTAGCTCTTGTAGACCAGTCTGGTCTCGAAGAACTCACAGAGATCCGCCTGCCTCTGCCTCCCGAGTGCTGGGATTAAAGGCGTGCGCCACCACCACCCAGCTTTGCTTTGATTTTTTTTAAAGAGAGAATCTTACCACGTAGCCTAGTCTGACATGATACTCCTCATTTTCCTGCCTTATCCTCCTGAGTGTTGGGATCACACGTCTGAGCTCAACCCTAACCCTAACTAAGTCTCAGTGGTTTTAGTACATTCCTAGAAAAGTTATCAGCCAAGTCAGCTTCAGAGCTTTCTCAGCTCTTCAGAGAGAAACCCAGGGTCTAATAGTTTCTCTTCTCCCCCCTCCAGCTCTGAATTGCGGGCTGTAGGCCCTTAATTCCAACCCTTTTATCTCGCGCTTCTCTCTTTTTTTAAAAAAAATATTTATTTATTTATTTATTTATTTATTTATTTATTTATTTATTTATTTATTATGTATACAATATTCTGTCTGTGTGTATGCCTGCTGGCCAGAAGAGGGCACCAGACCTCATTACAGATGGTTGTGAGCCACCATGTGGTTGCTGGGAATTGAACTCAGGACCTTTGGAAGAGCAGGCAATGCTCTTAACCTCTGAGCCATCTCTCCAGCCCTCGCGCTTCTCTCTTGAGCTGCCTTCATGGGTCACCCCTGTTGTAAGGATCCATGCTTCATCTCCTGACAGCTGGATAGTGTTACCACATGTGGGCAGGTCAATAGACGTGGGGGCCTGTTCTCTTTGGTAGCTCCTGTGAACACACCCCATGATATGGCAGCTGGATCCCCAACCTTGGCTGGCTCTGCATCCTTTCTGGGCATGTATGGCCAGAGAGAGCAGCTGCTGACAGGAGCCTTTGACCACCACGTCTGTACCCCTCCTGCAGTGTGACAGTCTCTTCTCTATCCTGTCACTACTAGCTGTCACCCCCTCAAGGACATGGCTCTGCTCAGCTGGATGACCTTGCCTAGGACGATCACCAGGGCTGCCATAGGTCTAGCATCCCTGTCCTCTGCAGTGTCTGGCCAGGCTGTCCGGGCCACTCTGCCTCCTGTCACCCACCTGGGTACCATCTCTCACTGGATATGGAAATTGTAGGTGCAGGCTGCATGGGAAGGCGTAGAGAGGGAGTCCCTGCAGAATCTGGTCCGGTGGCTAAAAGAGGTCTCAGCTCACTTGCAGGAGGTGCAGGAAAAAGTGAACAACCTGCCACAGCAGGTAGGTAAGGCCAGGGTGCACCTATTCTTGAAGATCCAGGCCTTGGCTTGGCTTGGCTTGGCTTGAACTAGCCTGGTGCTCCCAGGTGGCTGTGTTGAGTCACCTTAGGCACCTACATTTTCCACACTTCAGATAGAAAATGTCTCCAACAAGTGTGTTCTTCACAAGAGTGATGTGGACCTGAGGATCTCTGCTGAGGGCAAGGCCAGGTGAGGTTTGAAGCCTCCCAGGCCCCTGGGACCTCCCTGTCACTGGTCCCCACAGAATTCTTCCAGGCCCCTCCCCTCTGCACCTGTGCTTGCCCCGCCCCCACCCAGTCCCACCCTGAGCTCTGCCTCCTGTGGTATAGCTTGTCAACCCTGTAACAGCCTCAGGAACCCCAGCTCTGCACTAAGCCTTTGTCTTGAGCTCTGGGACCCCCTACAGCCAGCCCTTGGTGCCCACAGAGAGTCTGAGGTTGAGGCTGTGCGACAGGAGCTAGCCACCCTGCTGATGTCTGTGCAGTTTCTGAAGGAGGAGAACCCTGGACGGAAGATTGCAGAGATCCAGGGCCAGCTGGCCACGGTATCCCTTGGGCCCCAGGAAGGCACCTGCATCTGTCTCCCTAAACTCCGGGGTCTTGGTGATTCTGTAGTAGTGGGTGCATCTGGACAGCAGCAGTCCATGTCTACCCATGATTGGAGCTGTGTTTAGTTTCAGAAGCAAATAATCAAGTTAGAGAACAGCCTCCAGGCCAACAAGACCATCCAGAACCTGAAGTTTAATAACGAGACCAAGCTGGTGAGAGGAAACTCTGGGAGAACCATTGACCCCTCACCCTCTTGCCAGTCTGCCCCAAGTCCCTCGGCTCCTGTCTGCTCCATGGGGCCCCAGGCACTTCACTAGCGGGGTGGTGCTGATCTGTGTTTCCTAGACATGGGGCCCTACTGCTGGGCTTCCTCCATAGAAGATATCCCCACATACACACATCCTCTGCCTGCCGCTGTGATCCAGTCCCCATTTCTCTGTCGTTGTTTCATCCCCCGTGGGTCCTGTTAACACCGTCCCTCTGCACTTGCAGCGGGCAGAAGAGATCGCAACCCTGCGTGAGAGCATGCTGAGCCTGTGGAGCGAGGAGGGCCCCTGGCCGCTGACACTGGGCAGCAAGCGGGTGTTCATGTCCCTGGTGAGGCAGCGGTTCTTCATCAAGGACATAGCCCTGAGCGAGATGGTCCCTGTGAACTCCTGGGGCGTGTATCAGGCTGTGAGGTAGGCAGCTGAGAGCCTGGGTCTCCCAGCCTCGAGGAGTTGTGTTATGGATGAACGGTGTCTCTGCGCAGGTGGCTTCAGTGGAAGACAATCCTCTTGAACCTGGTGGCCCACCAAAGGCCAGGAGCAATCTCTGCGATGACCTACTGGAAGCCTGCACCCAAGATCCTGTCCCAGAAATAAAGATGCCAGTTCTTGTACCTGTTGGAGCCAGAGTTTCCTGTTGTCTGATGGAACAGCTTTTCCGCAGCTCGGAGGCTTGACAAGGGTGTCAAGTAGTGAGAGGAACCAAAGTCACAAGGCCCAGGTTATTTGACCCTGAAGGACCCTTTCTGCCCTGCTTAGCCCCAGGCCCTTTTATCACTTTTCCTGGGATTTCTATACAGGGACACCCAGGCCACACCTGGGACCCACCCCAGCTGCCTCTGAGGACAAATGTAAGGAGTAAGGACACAGGGTCCTCAGATCATCCTCATCCCTGCCCAGCTGCCATTAACACCGAAGTGCCACCAAGGAAGCCATTTGTGAGCATGAATCCGGAGAGTCAGCATCTGTGCTCCTCTGTGTGATCAAGCAGTGTGTCCCTTGTGTCCCTCTTCTGGCCTCTCAAGAAAACCTGCACTTTGCACACAGCTCCCAGCCCTTGCCACCAGCCAAGCACAGGGCATGGCACATGGAATCATCAGCTCTGGCCCTGCAGAGAGAGACAGCAGGGAGGGCTGGCCTTTGCTACTGACTTGAGTCTTGGTGCTGGCTTGGTAAAGAATGGGTCTCCCCAGATGGACGTGTGCAAACGACTCATTGTTCTTGCCTGAGTTCTGTCCACTTCCTGTGGGCAGAGTTCTGAGACCTGATGGGGTCATCCGAGAACTGGTAGCCAGGTGTGGCTGGGTCTAGACAAGCGTTTGCTCTCCCTCCTCAGTGCTGGCAGTGGCAGTTCTAGGCTTGGGATAAGCTCAGGTCCCCTGGGGAGAGCCAACTGCATGGCTGCTTGAAGAGACCCACTAGGGAGGTGCCTGGGCAACAAGGAGAGGCTGGGTGCCTGAGAGAGGACCACTGCTGCCCCAGTACACACCTGACCCACCTACTTACTAGATCTCAGTCATTGGTGTCTCCTCCAGGGCCTGGGTGCCTCCACTCTGCAGTTCGGAGCTACCCTCAGCAGACCAACTGGCCAGCAGATCACTAAAATCTGGTGTGTCTGGATGCAGCAGGCCTAGTGGGTTGGGCACAGGCTCCTTCCAGAAGGATGGAGGCAATTTCCTTTGGGTCATGGGGGTGATGTGGCTATACTTCCTCTCTAGCCTCAGCCTTTGACAAGCTGACACTCTGGGCCTGGAGAACTGCCGGAGCCCATAATCAAAGAGCTCAGCCAGGGGGCCCAGTGGTGGCACCCTGTCTCCTCTGTGGCCCAACCTGTGCATCTGACCCTCAGACCCCCCAGGCAAATTCACACTGTGCTCAGCAGCCTCCTCTTCCTCTGGGGACCCATCCTGGGCCAAACATACCAGATCAGCATAGTACAGATCCCGGGCAGAGCAGCTGGCTAGTTGGCTGTCAGAATAGATGTCTTGGGCATCTGGGTCTTGCCCTGTGTCCTTGCGTCCAAAGTACCGCTGGATGTCACCACTGATGAGCTCTGAGAAGCGCAGCAGCTGCATTGGGGTCTCCGGCCTGCTGGGACTCTGGGGGGCCACCCCTGAGCTCTGGGAATCTGGGCTGCAGCCTTGTGGCCCCTCATCTTGCAGCTCATGGTCTCCCTCTTCCTCTTCTTCCTCCTCTTCTTCCTCTTCGGAAGTTTCTGGAGCCTCCAGGTCTGTGGGCAGGAAGGACTGGTGTGATGGCAGGGGCAACCGGAAGTCACAGACAGACCGTATCACACCAGCAGCCATCTTGTTGAGGTCTCCAAAACTCAGGGTGGGGTGGTCCTGGGGTAGCAGACACAAGCTGGGTGGGAAGTAAAAGGGCAGGTTGGCAAGTTAGGGCTGGCGGTGCCCACTGGATACAGCCTGAATGTATGGTCCTGAAAAAACTGCCTCGGTTCTTTCTTCTCTTGATCCCTGGGCCTCCTGAGCTCAGAGAGGACCTGCCTTAGTCAGAGAGGTGTACAGGATCCTCTTGTGTAGGGCGGGGCCATCATGATACAGAGAAACCATTAGAACCCACCACAGCTGTGATCAGGCAGGCCACAGAGTAGGGTAGGAGGCAGAAGACCTAGAGATCAGAACTGCCCAGGCAGGCAGAAACAGGCACTGGACAAGGAGTCTACTTTGTCCCAGCATGGATTCCCGTGGAGACAGGCCCAGCGCTCGATACTGTGGGGAGCTTCAAGGGCTGTGGTGTCCAAAGAGCCCCACCCGGCCTGGTTCCTCCCTAGCTACAGTCACAGCTCTGGAGTTCTTTTCGGAGGAGGGACATTTTGGGTTTTTTTTTTTTTTCTGCTTTGGTTTGGTTTTCTTTTGTCTTGAGATAGATTCTCTCATAGCCCTGGCTGTCCTGGAACTTGCTATGTAAACTGGATTGGCCTCAAACTCACAGAGGTCTGCCTGTCCCTGCTTCCAGAGTTCTGGAATTAAGGGCCTGTGCCACCATTTCTGGGAAGGGATTATTTTTTAAGAAAAAGGTCTAGCTGGACAGTGTTGGTGTGTGCCTTTAATCCCAGCACTCAGGAGGCAGAGGCAGGTGGATCTCTGTGAGTTTGAGACCAGCCTGGGCTACAGAGCAAGTTGCAGGACAGCCAGGGAAACACAGAGAAACCCTATTTAAAAAAACTAAAAAACAAAAAAGGGGAGAAGGGAAAGGGAGGGAGGAGGGAGAGGAGAAGAGAGGAAGGAAAGGGAAGGAGGGAGGGAGGGAAGAAAGGAAGGAAGGAAGGAAGGAAGGAAGGAAGGAAGGAAGGAAGGAAGGAAGGAAGGAAGGAAGGAAAGAAGGAAGGAAGGAAGGAGTCTCACTTGGAGAACCTGTGTCAACCCTGCCTTAGCCCCCTGAAAGTAGAGATGAGAGGCATGAACCACCACACCCAGCTAGCCCTGGGTTTTAATTTGATACCTGAACACAATGTGAGTGCCCCCCACCCAGACCTCCTGTGAAGGGTGGAAGAGACAGATGGAAGATCCCTAAAGGAGTGGACCCCACAGATTGCTGTGCAGGTCCCAAAAGGCGCAAGGACAGCTATTGAGCCTAAGGAAGAGGTGGTGGCTGGGGAGTAATGTGGCTCTTCCCGGCTGAATCTGGATCCTAGAGTCACCAGGCGCCTCACAGAGATAGGGGAGCAAGTATCTACCTAAGTGTATCAGGAGATGATTGTTCTCTGAGAGGTCTGGTCAGAGCCCAGCCCCTCCCTGCTGTCCTGAAACCCTGAGTTTGGGCAGCAGAGACTGGCCACTAGCAGTGTCCCACATTGCTGGGTCCCTCTGTCTCAGGAGGTGTCCCGTGGTCCTGACACTAGCCTTTGAGGATAACTGCTAGTGGAGAGCTCAGTGCAGACATATTCCCTGCGGGAGGAATTCCCCGCTTATCCCTCCTCACCATCCCAGAGACTCCAACCCATACACCCAGGCTCCTACCTGATGAGACTGCAGCGCTCAATCAGCAGGCCCCTCCACCTGGGGTGCAAGCATTTATAGCTGGGCTCCACAACTGCCTGAGGCTGGCAAATATTTGGCAACGGCATTGTCATCGCAGACTGGGCAAACAGATCCCGTTTGCTTTAGCGCCCAGCAACCAGAGCCCCGCGGGGGGAGTGCCCGCAGACCGCCTCACCTGCACGCAGCCTGCCTGGGGACCATGAAGTGTTTGCCTCAGGCCCAGCTGGCCCACACCCTGGACCCGAGGACCCTTATCTGTGCTGCTGATTGGGGCCCCATCCAAGCCTTGTCAAATAAGCGGAAAATTAAATTTCATGCTATTTTGAGTTCTGGAGTACGCCTCTCCAGAGGACATCCTTCCTGCAGTGCATTCTATAAACCATGCTCTGCAGCAACAGGGCCTAGAGCAAGGGGAAGCGACTAAGACTATGCAGCCACCCACCAGGTCCAAGATAGGAGCTAATACTTGCAGTCCTCATAACCCCTTCCAAGCTCCTCCAGCCTCTGGGCCTTATTTGTGCAGCTGAGATCAACCATAACCATGTCAACCGGCCCAGTGAGCACTGTGAGGAGGACTCTCATGTGGTGGCTGCCACCCACTTGCCCAGACCCAGCTGTAATCGTAGTCAGTCCGATTGAACCCTCTGTGTCTTGAGCATCCAGAGAAGGCACCTCCCTTCTCTGCTTGTAAGCCTCCTGGCTGCTCCTACACGTAAGTGGAATTGGGGGACTCCAGTGCCTGCCTGTCCTCTCTTGTCCTCCTAATGCCCTCGGCCTTTCTGGTGGTGTATTAGCTTCCTCTGGCTTCTTTAATTGCTGATCCCAAATTGGGTGGTTCAGGAACAACAGGAAATTATTCTCTGTCCTCCTGGAGGCCAGAATCCAAACTGAGATGTGAGCCAGGCTGGTTTCTCGTGGGAAGTTGAGATCCTAGGGCTGCCAGCCTCCTGGTGTTCTTTGTCTTGAAGCTGTCATGGCCATCAATGCTGTCATCTTCACACAGGCTTTCACTTTTTTAAAAACCTCGGGACAAGGTCTTGCTATATGGCCTATGTTGGCCATAAACTGGTGACCATCTGAGTGCTGGGATTGTGGGCGTGCACTACCATGCATGGCTGGCAACTATTACAAGGGTGTTCACCCTGGCACCTGAGTCCTGCACGTCCTCAGCTTCAGTAGTCACACCAACAAAGACTCTTTCCAAATATCTTCACACCCTGTGGCTTAGGGTGAACGTGCATTTAGTGGGGATACTATTCTAGCTGATCCAGGGACCCTCTAGGAAGTATGTGACCCCGGGGCACTCAGTTGCCCTGAATTCAGGTGTCATCAGCTATGACTCAGCTGGGGCTAGTTCCAAGGACAGGAAAGTGGCTCATCACAGCAATGCTTTCACTGTCTCGGGCCCAAAGCATTTGCTGATTGTCTCTAAGTTCAGCTCTTCAACTGGCCAGGCGGTTAAGAGCAGTGTGGATACCATTTGCCTCCCCTGGGTCCTTCCTTGTTCCAAGACACCACTCCCCCTTTGGGCAAGGACAACACCTTGGTTTCAAGCTATTGTAACACTCTTGGTACCCTTGGGGCCCTAATCTGCAGGCTGAAGTTATGTCCTCTGACACCCCAGCACACTGGCCTTCAGCCTTTTCCTCTGCCTGAGCCCACACGTGATGACTTCAGTCGATCTGTAACTCCTGGAGAGTAGAAGATTAGGGGAACCAATCCTGAAGATACTGTACACCTGGTCACTGTAGTCAGGACCCTTCGCCCAGCATAGGCAAACCACAGGGAAATGAAAGTCCTAAGGATGAGACCCTCTAAGGGCTGGGCTGAATTAGGGATGTGCTGAGTTTGGGAGATTGCTTGCCTAATGAGCCCGAAGCTCTGGGTTAGATCCCCAAAGCCATATAAACTGGTCATGACGGTGCATGCCCATAACCTCAGCATCAAGAGGTGACCCTTAGCAAGATCAAGGCCACATTAGGCTACATCAGACCCTGTGACAAAACAACCTGTGGGCAAGACTGACACCTGGCATGAATGTCTGGAAAGCTGCCCAAGTCTAAAGACTGGGTTGTATGCCCGGAGCTGGGTCCTGGAGAAGGGCAGCATGGAGCAGGTCGCCTATAGGCCTGACAGGACACTGGAAGACTCAGGGAAGGCGATGGCATAGCTACTGCTAGTTCTGACCTCTTCTTAGGCAGGAAACGTGGGCATATCCCCAGCGAGTACCAGATGAGACTTCCCCCATGGAATGAAGTGTTTCTGGCTAGGTCCGGTTCTAGGTGTCCGTGCTGCTCTGGATTTCATCCACTTCCTACTCTGTCAGACTCCAGGGGCTAAGAACACTCGCTAGTCTTGGCTGTGAGTGGCACTGCTTTAGCCCCAGTCAGCTTCCTTTTCACCCACCAAAGCTTAAACCCACCGGAGAACCAGGCATGGGGTTGGGGTATGTGTGTGCAGTTACTCCGAGCTGAAGCC